TTCATTACAGCTCCTGGTTAATTCACATCAACAGAGATCGTCTTTACCATTCGTAATCAGAATAAGCACTCAGGAGGAGGAGAACAACCACTGACATAAATTTAAATTAAACCAACAAAAAATTTGAAACATTCAAAACACCAGTCACTATTAATTTCATCGCTGCAAAATTACCAATATGTAAACGACGTCCTATAAGGATTCCTATAGGAGTTAGTGAATGATATGTTTGCAGCATTCATCGTTTATCCCAATTATTATTAACATAATATTCAGCATGTAAGATGTTGATGAATGGATGTTACTATTTTTTAATAATTTTAATTTTACTTTATATATTTTAATCAAATGTCACACATATAAAAAGTCACACAGTTCAATTTAACGTTTTACGTACCACCTGAAAATGGACATAGCTGACTGAAACATGTTGTAAAATAAGACAATGGCAGAAAACAAAAGTTGTGTAGACAGAAAAATACTTATTATAATTACAGAGCCAGAGTTAATTCATACGAACACAAACCACTGGGAGCAAGCTGCTATCAAAGGTCATCAAACGAAAAGCATGAATATGAATAAGACTGCTAGAGAATGGGCATATCGGATAAGCAGCACAAGACAGTGGCCATGACAGATATCAACAGGCTTTGTAATAAAACCATTTCTCTGCACGTAGGTGCTTTCCTTAAATCCAGTGCAGGCCTGCTGTGTATTCATACATACTTTATGAGAGTCACGTATTGGCCTGCTGTTTGAAAAATATTTCAGAAAATTACTTGTAAAAAAAAAGACGAATGTATCCCTACATTGAGGAAATGTGTGTTATCACTTCACATAACAGACTGGCAGCATTAAGAAGCATGCTTTTACATAGAATAAATTAACACTCACGTACAGATGGGAATTGAACACAATAATAAGTGTAGGCAGAAACAATGGATGAAAAAATGCCAAAGGTCAATAGAAATCAGCACAACACAAATATAACATATTCATACATATATTTATTCTTCAAGTCTATACACAAACCATTTTAATATTGATGTTAAAAATTAAAATTGATCAGACCTGACCAGCCGAGGACACACGACACATCAAACTCCTGAAATAATGAACAAATAACATAATACGCCACATAATATGCAAAACAATCAGAAGATAAAAGGAACATCCACAACTACAACCTACAATCTACAATTACTGTAAAGCGTGCATTAAAAAATATAGAATAGTTTTAAAAATAAAACCTGAAGATGATGCTGAGACATCGAAACATGTTGTAATATATAGCGCAAATTGTAACATCGAGGAAACGATGAATAGCGCGAAATATTTATATCAATTTTAATTTTTAACATCAATATTAAAATGGTTTGTGTATAGACTTGAAGAATAAATATATGTATCAATTGAAAACACAAACATGACGCATCTAAACTATAAACAAATATAACAGTAACAGAAATAAACAAGTAGATGCACAAAAGCAAACTTTTATACATGGTAGATGGAAAAATTACAAAAATGTTAAAAAACAAACAAAAACTGCCTTTAAAGTGAACAAAGTTAGCACGTGAAACTAACTACAGACGATACCAAGGTCAAGTTGACACAGCAGTTCAGGAATATATTGGCCTGAACGGGTTGTGAAAGGTCACAAACAGGAAGGAAATGCAAAAGAAGGTCAGGACGAATGTGAATGAGGGTTACATAAGCAGTTAGGCAAATTAACAGACAAGCATAAATAATTTCAATAGCATATTTGAGGTAGCAGCAGATAAAATGATTGTACAGAATGGCATGAAATGTAGACACTGTATGAGGTTACAAGGATATCCATTTGATTATAAACAATTAGCATGAAGAAAGGTAGGGTGGCATATCAAGGCTTTCAGATACTGACAGAAAGCAACTGATTTGGGTATGAGAAATGATCATATACACACAGCATACACAAAATATCAAATGCCAGAGAGCATAACACAGCTTGAATAGATTGCAGCTTTTACATACTAGGGGATGAACGTTAATAGATAAGAGCTAATGACGTTGATATATAAATAAGAATTGTGGATTAGGCATGATACATGCAAGAATTTCAATTAAATTATTTACATAAAAAGGATCTTATATAAGACACGGAAATTATACAAAATGGGTGACACAAAAATTAATTACATTTTCTAAATGCAGTTAAAACAGGTAGAGTATTTTTAAGGCTCCAACAGCACTGTCCTAATAACTAACAAACCTGGCACCTTCATTCTTGTCAACTGTGGCATCATCTGACATCAATTCCAATAAAAAATGTGATATCACAAGTTTTTATACTTTTCTGCATAACAAATCACCTCAACTCATTCTTTGGGTATTTTCTACAGAATTTACTATTCAAAATACAACGACGATCATGTAAAAGAACGCAATCAGAAGCAGGCCCACCACTACTTCCCATGACAGAATCTCCCAAACTCCCATTTCACACTACAGTCAAGGTCATCTTAGTTGCTAGGTCACTGCTCATGACAGGTGAGAACATGACGTATTCACGAGCATTCTCAAGCATTACTTTGCACCAAAATTGTTTGCTGCTGTTTATGAAGCATTTTGTAATGCATAAAAGTACCGAATAACTAAATAAAATAATACATGGACTGGTAACAACATTTTAGGTCCACAGGAAGTAATTGTCTATGAATGTGCAATCACACATCAGACTGTGTACAAATTATGTTCGCTTTTAAAGTGGTAAAAGTTAATGGCCCTGTGAATTTCAACGAAACTCATAGTGTTCCATTTAAAACACAGCCCTAATTACTACACAAGAAGCCCTTCAAGTACAAAGCGAGGAAATCAATGTCAGTACTGAATTATTACGGCTGACGCTCTGCTTGAAATCGGTTTGGACATAATTTCAGCTCTTTTGTCACTGGACGTAAAATGTCTTATGTAACACACTACTCACTTCCACATTGTAACTAAAATTATAACAGAAATGAATGTGAATATAAATTTATTATTTTACATTTGGGTTTCAAATAAGATGGGGACTTCTCGACCAGATGAGTATCTATTAGATTGTCAAAGGATTCTGGTCCATGTAGTTGGTTAATTTTGAGTAAATCAACAAATAATACATCTTCTGAAATTAATGTATTGTTAATCTGAGTACAGAGGCCAGCTAAAGTTTGCATGATTTATATTGGGCACATAATATGGTTGTGGTGGTTAAATGAAAAAGATTATGATAGGCTGTACATGTTCATAAGGAAAACATGGAGAACGCAGATAAGTAGGCTGTTTTAACAATGGTTGAAACAAAGAAGGCAGAAAAATATTAAAATAGTTCTTGGAAAGATATGTTCTGAGGTTGTGAAATGGACTGAACTGACTCAGAATCAGGTCAAAGCGTAAGTTTTGATATTGACAGTGGCACACAATCTGGTTCCATTTTCAGACTGCGTGTGTGCTTGCTGGCTATCTTAGTAATTTTAGCCAACATAATTCACACTAAATCTATTAACTTTGCAGTTCAAGAGAGTTCACAAATACACAGAATTCTGACAACTGCTACGTTACAGAATAATGGGCTTACGATCATCCACATTGAACTGCACTACATACACTTCACCTACTTGCGTAAGATACACCACAATGTCATACTTTCATGTCCTTGTGAGTCTTCCAAGTGACCCCCTTCCAAAAGACTTCCCACTAAAATTCTGTGCCTCTATATCCATATTTCCATCATCATTAAAAGTAATCCTCCCATCCACCATCACACCTACCACTGCTACCCACATTTTATTGAATTTTGTTTAAATTTAAGCAGAATGATATGTCTGAATGCTTGTTCCAAAGATCCCAGGAGAGAGTTCCATGTAGTGTGTGTGTGTGAATGTGACAGTTCTGCTTTCTCCCAAGTACAGACTGGAACAATCTGTACGTGGCCTTGCTAACTTTCTCATAGAGATGTGATCGCAGAAACAAAGACAAACTCACATGCTGTTTCCTCCAAACAGCTTTCAATAACATGTAATTTCCTAGAAATTATGTAGTGAAATCAGCTAAAAGACATCCTTCCTGGATTTCCCATTTTCAATCATTCCAAATGGTATCTGCACACTCTTAATTTGGGAACAATACTAGACCAATTTCATACACAATCCTGAACACAGCAGAGCAGGTCAATGCATCATACATATACAGGGGAAGTCAAAAGAATCTGCACAACTTTGGAGAACTGTAACCGTGTTACCTGCAACCAAAATGTGCTGATATCAGCAGATATCTGTAGAGCATAACCTCAAGTTTCATTTGTTTGTCGTAGTTCTTCACATTGCCGCTGAGAGCGCTTGTGAATTGTGGAAAACACAATTGAGATTTATAGTGGAGAGGAAAAAGCACAATGTGTGTTCTGGTTCGAACAAACGAAGAATGCAACTCAATTGGCTGCAGGTAACACGGTTACAGTTCTCCAAAGTTGTGCAGTTACTTTTAACTTACCCTGTATGTCTCATCAACAGAGTGAAATTATGAGTCTGATTTTGTTCTCACAATAAACATCAACAGCTCTCCTGCTCTTCATTAAATTAACTTACCTTTCAATAGGTTCTCTAGCAAGAAGATATCACCTTTTTAATGTTATCAATAAACACCTGTATGACACTTCTTCAGATTCTCATAAGCACTCAGCCACTCAAGAAATTCCATGTTTTTTATAGATCCTGAAGGACCATTACTGCATTCACAACACCAAACACTGGTCAGTGTCCTGAACATGATGAATCAACTCCACACACTCAAACTCTATTCTTTTATGATATTTTTTAATATTATCTTCCCATTTACATCTAGGTCTACCTTACAGTATGTTCCCTTCATGATTTCCAAATAAAATCTTGCATCTCCCATGTGTGCTTTTGCCCTCTACCATCTTGGTTGATCACCCCAATATTTAGTCAGCAGTGTAAATTATGGAGTTCCTAATTTTTCAATTATTTTCGCCTCTAGTTGCGTCCTCTCTCTTAAGTCAAAACATTCTTCTTAGCACTCTGTTTTCAAACACAATCTATATGTTCTCTTCATGTCAGATGCTAATTTTAACACCCTTAGAAAATAATATCTAAAAATATAGTTCTGTTTGTTCCAAAATATTTGAACTGCGCCACATTTCATGAGATTTATTAATGATGATGGAGGTAGCATGGACATCTTAAATGTTGGTGAACTTCTACCAGGTTATACGATGCAACAACCCAGAATACAGCCATCTTCAGACTCACCACCACGAAAGCCTCAAGTCCTACTTAAAATCAACCTACCCTCAATGACGGACTGTAACTTTCATTAAAAGTTGGATTATTGTATACTGTCCCCCCATTCTATGGGACAGCTGATCTGAATTTTAACACTGAGATTTGATCATTTAAAGTAAAGCTGTCAGTCTGGATAAGAGGCCAGAGGAGAAATCAGAAATCAAATACCAGCCATCTATTCCACACTGACTGAGTTGATTTTGAAGAGTTTTGTCAATGGTGTATTATAATCTGGATTACTGAGCTTTTGGACTTTGTCCATAATCTGGTACTCTAAAAAACACAAAACATTTAAAAGAAACTAGACCAGTGACTTGAGGTTAGCATCATATCTAAACAAATTCCTTGTGTGCAGCTAGTCATCACCCTGACAATGGAGGCAGCAGCAAGAACCTCTGAAATACTGGTAAACTTCTACCAAACTACACAGCACAACATCCCAATTATCTTCTGATCACAGGTTTTCATGGTGATTCATACTTAATGTTGATCCTGCTTTTGGGTACTGGCATTACAGGAAAGGGAGTGGTGTTGTCAATGTTTCAGCATTAAAATGAAAACATTATGTTCCTCTAAAATATTGGTAACACAACAAACTTCCACTGGGCACCAGCATCTGAAAGCAGGATTAGTGTTACTCTCTTATCACATGTCTTTAAATCATTTGCTAAGTCTGGCAACTGAACCAGAAGGTTGGCACTGGAGTACAGGTCTTCTACCCATCCAGTATGTCCACTGCCTGTCACTTGTGTGAACTGCCACTGCATTCATGAAACTTTCACTGCACTTTTTTAACTCCCATTTCCTTTTAAAATGCTCTTTTCATTTTACATCTCTATTAATGGAAGACAGGTGAAATACGGAATTATTTTAGTCCAGCTGATCCTATGTAATCTTTGAAATAAAATTTATGGAAACCACAGTTATATTTCAGACTTTTCTGGAGTTTTACTTTCATTGTTCATTTTCTATTATTATTATAATAAGAACAACTTAATTAATACTCGATAATCTGGATTTCTTGTTAATGTTTTATGCAATAAATATATATAAAAAGAGGGCCTATTTATTTAGGATCACAAGAGTTACTTGTATATGGTTAAACTTGTCATAAACAACAGTAGCAAGTATAACAGACTATTCCGATAACATCGCATCTCTAATTCCTGGGGAGACAAAATCAAATAGGGCATGCAGGCAATGAGAACAAAACACAAATTTTTTGTTGTAAAACCTTAAGGGATATAACAATTCGTAAGCGTACATGGAAACAATAAAATGCTGAAATCTCAATGAAATACGATGAGAAGAGGTAGGCTATTATTGTGAGCACAGTATAAAAAATCCTCCGGGTTCTACAAACGTCTAGGAAAATATTTAGCAACTCTGTACATATTTAACACTCAAGAGTGGTTTGTTTCATGCAGCTAGTTACTGCGTACGAGTGATCTTTGAACTGTAATTGGTCAAACACAGCTAGCAGATGCAACTCACCAGCAAAACGATCTGGTTCTAGTCCAGAACTTAGATCCAAACCGCAGATTACAAAGTAATCCGCGAATCTACTTGCTCCGGAACAGGTTTGCGAATTCATTCTAAGAGAAACACAGTCAACCTCACTCTAAATTACAGATCCTGCTCTTTCGCGTAGGAAGAATCCCGCATAAAACCATTTTGCACTTTCCACTCCACTTCTGCTTTTCTCTCTACCACAGTCGAACTGACAGGTCAGATTTGAGCATTGCTGATTCAGTACAAAATACCGATCAGTGCGACATCTTTTGAATAAATATTCCAATATTAGCCACAACAAGCAATATATCTCAGTCGGCATGGCAGGAATGGTAGTTCCAACCTTCATCATAATTCTATTTAATTATCGACCCAACTAAAAAGCGAGACTTTTATATAAATTTTCGTCAATTTTTACCACGGCCGACACTGTTCACGTCAGTGTTTACATTAAATATAATATAAATAGAAATCATTACTTTTCCCCTACTAAAAGAAATATAATGAATGACTATTGATCACAACTTATACCATGTGCACTGTCTTATTATAAAAATTTGTGATTTCGTCGTCGTCACTAAATTACGTCATCAACAATGTCAACTATAAACAAACTCGGCATTGTTGTG